TTACGACCAAGATGACTCAATCTGAAGATAAAGGAAGTTACAACCAAGTTGACTCAATCTGAATGAACTAAGTAAGATAAAGGAAGTTACGACCAAGTTGACTCAATCTGAATGAACTAAGTATCAGCCAAGCTATTATTATTGTTCCTGTACATTAGTTTTATACACTAAGCCCATCTGTGTCAGCCAAGCTATTATTATTGTTGTTCCTGTACATTAGTTTTATACACTAAGCCTATATGTGTCAGCCAAGCTATTATTGTTGTTGCTTTCAATTCTTTAAGATTTCAGAACTCTAAAAGAATTAATATTTCATTTAATGGTTATCTTAATTTTATCCTTCATAAACCAAGTCTCTGTTTGTCAGCTAAACTCTTGTCATTTTTTCCAATGCTCTCAGATTTTGAAAAATTAATATTTTATTTACAGATTATTGTCGTGTGATAAAGTAAAATTATAGGAATTTATTTATTAGAGCAAGAATATTTTCAACTTCATTTAGATCAGTCATAATGCAAACACCCTTCTAAGTGTATGTTACTTTTCTGAAACCTACACTTTGTGTGAAAATACTTAAGAATAGAAGTGTATATGTGTTCCTTAGAAATTCACTGCTGATTTTTATACCCTAAACTGTTTCCTCTCAGGCTCACAGAGAAAAAAGGTGCCATACTCTGAAGCTATCCAACTTGCAGGTAACTTTGCAAACATTGAAAGAATTATTTACATCTTAAAGTTAGCTCATTGCTTTGTAGTTGCCTTGTGACTATGAAAATATTATATGACTCAATGTAAGACCTAGTAAACTGTCATTAAACTGTGTAAATAAAGATAGTTTTCTTGTAATTGTAACATTTCAAGTAAAGAAAGAAATATACTAATAAATACATAACGGATTAAACAAAAATATTCTATATCAGTGAAGTATCTAGGACATTACAAAAATATTCTAAATCTGTGTAGTATCTAGGACATTAATAAAAATATTATCAATCAGTGTAGTATCTAGGACATTAATAAAAATATTCGAAATCAATATAGTATCTAGGACATTAACAAAAATATTCTAAATCTGTGTAGTATCTAGGACATTAATAAAAATATTATCAATCAGTGTAGTATCTAGGACATTAATAAAAATATTCTAAATCAATGTAGTATCTAGGACATTAACAAAAATATTCTAAATCAATGTAGTATCTAGGACATTAAAAAATATTTTATATCACTGTAGTATCTAGGACACTAACAAAAATATTATAAATCAGTGTAGTATCTAGGACATTAAAAATATTTTATATCACTGTAGTATCTAGGACACTAACAAAAATATTTGAAATCAGTGTAGTATCTAGGACATTAACCAAAATGACAGTATTTTGTGACTTTAATGTTTGATAAATAAAAAAAACTAATATAAAATGTTTCTTTATTGAAATGATGGATGTTTTTAGAATTAAGAAATTAATTAATATTTTAAGCACTTGAAAAACAGATTTTCACTTGAGTATTTTATAGTAAAATAATTACCTTTTATATTAAAATCTCAGGCTATAAATAGCCACTTTATAGTATTAGAATAGCCTTGTCTGAAGGTTTATGTTGAGAAGTATACAACTTCTGCAGGGTTTGGCAAGTTCCAGTGGCTTCTCTTGTTGGTGTGTGGAACAGCCAATGCATCTGATGCCATCGAGATACTCTGTGTCTCATTTCTTCTCCCTTCTGCTGAGTGTGACCTTCGTCTCTCATCATCTGACAAAGGATGGCTGTCAGCTATAATATTTATTGGCAAGTTCACCCTATTCATTGTGTGTGAGTGTGAGTGCCAGTGTATATGATCATAATATGTATGTGTGTGCTGTTGTGTATCATTCTAGTGTGTATGAAAGTGTACGATATCACAAAAGTTCCGTATGATAAATAATTGTTTATATTATTTTTAAAACAAGATGTAACTGAAGTATTTTCTATACTTTTTCGAGGATTTAAGTTGAAAGATATGTGGCAATAAATGTATTTCCATTTACTGATAGTCAGTTTACTTTAAAAAAATTTTATTATGTAAAAGAAAAATATCAGTTGCTATGTGTTTTAAAGACCTAATGTTAGAATTGATTTATGTAAAATATACAGTGATTGATAGAGGTTATGAACCTGATATTATAGATAAAATCATTTTCTGAATTTACCAAATTACAGACAGTAAGTAAGGGATATAATTAAAGAAAATGTTTGTCCTATGTTCCATCGTTGTTAACAAATATAGGTAACCTGTTCGTGAAAAATACGACTTGTCAGATAACCTTCACTCGTCAATTAAAATTAATTAATATCATTAATGATGTTAAAGATATAATTGAAATAAAGGATAGATGTGGAATATATAGTTTCTTGTAGTTGTGGTTCGGATTATTCTTGAACTGGCAAGTAGAACTTTGAAGTTTTGAATTAAGGAACATAAAAATAACATTGATAAATTAAAAACTAGTGATTGTCAAAACATGAGAAACTCTTCACACATATTGTTAAATGAGGTATTGTACAAACACTTAAAGAAATAGTCAAAGTATGAATTAAATATAAGAGAGTCATCAGAAATTGATAAAAATAAAATTGTTTTCTTTAGAGACTTAGGTCCTGGTACCATGAAAGTAAAGTTCTGGAAATCAATTCCAAAACATACTTACCTCCACTGACACTATAACTATTTCTTGATCTTCAGGGTTTCCACTCTTTGCCCATCTAAGCATTGAAAATGCTTGCTCCAGTCTTTTGCCCACTCTAATGCCCCTGGCAAATCTTAATTTGCAAAATTCTCCACCAACTTCAATATGCCTTCTATCTAGGTACTGTATATAAGCACCTCTTTCAGATAATGTAATCACTTTTTTCTTGACATAGCAATCGGCACGGGTTTCTATAAATAGGAGTGCTGTAATTATTTACAATATATGTTGTGATGTTGAACGTGGTTTGCATGACTACGGTTGTATCTTTGTGTATTTATAAATTATTTTAATTATAATAACAATAATAATTAAAAAATAAAACCATACCGATGGGTATGAATTCCAGAATTAATGTTTCTACTATGGAGGCTATTCAGACCTTTTTTCTTCCACCTCTGTTATCTGAAGTTTTGTCAATGGCTGGCGGAGGGTTTATTCTCAGTCGAGGCTGTCTGTAATATGATGAGTTGCAAGATGGACATATATATGTGCAGACTGCGGGTGTCTCTCTGGGGGTTCTGAGGCACCTTTTGCAAATGACCCAAACCAGCCGGGGAGAATTTAGACTCGCTTTTTCCAGCTGCTTCTTTTACTAGGTTGGCCTCAACAGAGGTTGTTTTTGAGCAGCCACCTCCAGCCCTTTTTTCTTCAGTTGGTTACTCTAGTTGGTGAGGTTTTGGGAGTCTTGATCAATGGATCATGTATTCTGATTCTTTGGGTCATCCTGTCTCATTACTTAGGAGTAACATTATTGATTGGGAATGGTGGTTGAATTGGAAGAACACTACTTTTAGGGTACCCACGCTGCCACTTCAACCTGATATCCATCTGTTCACAGTCACATATTTTTAGGGATGGGGAACTTATCTTCAAGGTATGGAGTTCCTGGGTATTTGGACGGAAGACAAGTGTACCCTCCATATCAACGTTCTCGAATTCCTTGCAGTACACAGGGCAATGTATGTAATGAATACCTTTTAGTGTACGTAATGAATACCTGTTAGGGTACGTAAGGAATACATGTTAGTGTACGTAATAAATACCTTTTAGTGTACGTAATAAATACCTTTTAGTGTACGTAATGAATACCTGTTAGGGTACATGAGGAATACATGTTAGTGTATGTAATAAATACCTTTTAGTGTATGTAATGAATACCTGTTAGGGTACATAAGGAATACCTGTTAGGGTACATAAGGAATACCTGTTGGGGTACATAAGGAATACATGTTAGTGTATGTAATAAATACCTTTTAGTGTACGTAATGAATACCTTTTAGTGTACGTAATGAATACCTGTTAGGGTACGTGAGGAATACATGTTAGTGTATGTAATGAATACCTTTTAGTGTATGTAATGAATACCTTTTAGTGTACGTAATGAATACCTGTTAGGGTACGTAAACAATACATGTTAGTGTACGTGAGGAATACATGTTAGTGTATGTAATGAATACCTTTTAGTGTACGTAATGAATATCTGTTAGGGTACGTAAGGAATACATGTTAGTGTACGTAATAAATACCCTTTAGTGTATGTAATGAATACCTTAGTTATGTTAACAATTAGGTTGTCTTTCTTGCCTCGTGGCATAATCTTTAAAAAAATTTTGATTTATTGTTTTCCTGATTCTTTCCCATTTTTTTCTTTTAGGCATGATGATTGGCAGTTACCTCTGGGGCACGTTGGGTGATTATTTTGGCCGAAGAATTGTTCTTGTTACTGCTTTACTTGTTAATGGAGGATTTGGTTGTCTATCAAGTTTAGCACAATCCTTTCCAGTTTTTTTGGTGATTCGACTTTTCAGTGGTATTGGGTAGGTATTTTAAGTATAACACGAACATTTCCTGTTCATAACTTCCTTTATCTTATACACTAAGCCCGTATGTGTCAGCCAAGCTATTATTGTTGTTCCTGTACATTAGTTTTATACACTAAGCCCATCTGTAAAAACTAATGTACAGGAACAACAATAATAATAGCTTGGCTGACACAGATGGGCTTAGTGTATAAAACTAATGTACAGGAACAACAATAATAATAGCTTGGCTGACACAGATGGGCTTAGTGTATAAAACTAATGTACAGGA